GTTCTGTTTTTGACACCTCTGACTATTAAAGTTATTCTTTTTCTTTTCTTTTCTTTTCTTTTTGAGACAGGGTCTCTCTGTTGCCCAGGCTGGAGTGTAGTGGCATGATCACATCTCACTGCAGCCTTGACCTCCTGGGCTCACACAATCCTCCTGCCTCAGCCTCCCAAGTAGCTGGGACCACAGGTCTGCGCCACCACATCCAGCTAATTTTACTTATGTTTTTGAGACAGGATCTCACTCTGTTGCCCAGGCGTGGGCACAGCTCACTGCAGCCACAATCTACGTGGGCTTACTGAACCTCCTACCTCAGCCTCCTGAGTAGCTGGGACTACAGGCACGCACCATCACGCCCAGCTAATTTTTCCATTTTTTGTAGAGACAGGGTTTTGCCATGTTGCCTACGCTGGTCTTGAATTCCTGGGCTCAATGTAAAGACAGGGTTTCGCCATGTTGCCTAGGCTGGTCTCGAACTCCTGGGCTCAAGCTGTGCCTCCTCCTGGGCCTCCCAAAGCACTGGGATTACAGGAGTGAGCCACGGTGCTCAGCTCAAGTTATTCTTTACGCTGACCTGAAATACACATTCTCCCAACCTCACACCCTTTCTCCACGTGGTCAAGGTGCCTTAGTGACGGGGTTAAAAAGCTGGAGTTGAGTTGCATCTTGGCTTTGATTCCTGTAGGCAAGCCATGCAATGACTGGGACTGTTCTTCCCCGTCTACAGAGGGGGGCTCCTTCCTTCCTTTTCTCTTTTGTGAACATTAAATGATGCCATGACATGCAATGTAGGAAGGCACATGCTGAACAGCTAACACTCCTTTCCCGTTGGTCTCGCCCTGGCTCTGGGGTCACACACTTGCTACAGGTGGGTGTCGCCAGCCATCGGAGAGGCAATGTAATCTCTTGTACCTCCTAAAGCAGCAGGTTGTTGAGACCTTCAGATGTCTGGGACCCACACTTTCCAAACGTTGTCTGTGACCAACGCATCTTAGGAGGGGAAGGGTGGGGACTGGGCTAAGCGAGCCTCCACGTCATGTGTCACCTGCCCCCCAGGCTCCACCCGGCAAAGGCTGAGTGAAGAGCCCCAGGAGGGACACCTGGTCAGCTCTGGCTCTAGCTTCTGGAGCGTGGCAATCCCCTCCCCAAACCCAGCACGCATGTGGAACTGGTCCTGCCGGCCCGTGGGGTCACTCACCGATGTCTTTGGCTCTGACAGCCACCGGCCTTCGGAGCTCAGTGACAAACTTTTTGGCGTCCAGGCGGATCTCAATGATGTTGTTCAGCAGCGCAAACAGCGGGGCCAAGGGGAAGGAGGCGACAAACAGGGTGACAAAGCCAAACTGGATGACTGCAGAGAGAGCCCAGTGCCAGTCAGCACCCCATGAGCCACAGCCCATAAGTGGGGACTCCACCACCCCGTGTGCCGAGCTGCACAGGTCTGGCTGCTGCCCCACCTCCAACAAGCCCACTTGCATAGGCCACCTGTTGGGACGGACCCTCTGTGACCCTGGGTGACCTCCAGGATTGGGCTGAAGGCAGAATTCCAAATTTTGCTCTGAATCTGTGTTGGACTCTTGAATAAAGGGAGTGCTCACTTAGCTACGGCTAATCTTTTTTGAGATGGTCTCGATCGGTCACCAGGCTGCAGTACAGTGGCACAACCATGGCTCACTGCAGCCTCGACCTCCCAGGCTCAATGAATCCTCCCACTTCAGCCTCCCGAGTAGCTGGGACCAAGGCATGCACCACTATGACTACTTAATTTTTGTATTTTTTGTAGAGCTGGGATTTTGCTATGTTGCCCAGGGTGGTCTCAAACTCCTGAGCTCAAGTCATCCACCCAAAGTGCTGGGATTCCAGGCATAAGCCACCTCGCCAGCCTATGTCAAATTTAAAAAAATCATCACCAAAAGGAAAAGGACCATTGTGAGCTCACAGGCCCAGCCTGTGGTCATTCCCCTGCCTGTGCTGGGAAGGGACGTGGCAGTGGCTCTGCTGCTTCCATCATGGGGGCTCCCTGGGACCTGGGGGACCTGCCTGCATGGCTGCATCTTCCAGAGCCCCAAACTTTCCCTTGCATCAGGCCTCCTGGATCCGGGTGGGACCAAGGACAGTTCCTCGCCTCTGCCCCTGCGGCCCTGCCCCTGGGGATTGTCCCACCCAGGAGCTGGCTCTGGGGCTTCTTTGGCTTTGGATGCTGCATCCAGCACGGGGCTGGGCTCCTAGGAGAAGGTCAGGAAAAGGTTGCTGAGTGGAACTGAGCAGGAAAGCTGGTTCAGGAACTGCACAGCAGGACCCAGTCCAAGGGAGTTTGGTGCCAGGCGGTAAACAAGGAAGCCGGCAGAATGTCACTGTGTGCCTGGCGGGCTGAGTGTGGGCATTGTTAGCATGTGGGGTAGGCCGTGCGGGGTGCCCTGAGTGTGAGCACTGTTAGCATGTAGGATGGGCCATGGCGGGGAGTGCCCTGCAAGTTCTGTCCCTGGGCTGTCTTGCTCGCCCTGGCAAGGTGGGCTGAGTGGGAGTTCTCTGGTCCTGCCTGAGGTCCCTGGAGGGGATGAGGGATTGCTTATGTAGGGTGGTGTGTGCTGTGCATGAGGGCCGGGGGCTGCTGAGGCCTGAGGCTGTGGGTCACTCACCAGGGTGGGCTTTCTCACTTCCGAGTGGTGCTGCCTACTCTGGCACTAAGGGTATGA